GGCCCCCTTCGCGCGCCTCTGGGAACAGGGCCGCCCTCCAAGCCCTGCGCTCCCGCCGGCGTCCCCTGGGCTCTGCTTATTCGGGGGATGCCAGGACCCCCCTCTGACGCCCGGCTTCGCAGCGGCGCGCAGGGTCCCGGGGCGGCCCCGGGGCGGGACGGCTCCTCCGGGCCCTCCCAGCGGGCTCAGGAGGACCTACTGGGTGCCAATGGCCGGGCGCAGGAAAGAAACGGAACTCTTGCCTTCTGACTTGGAGAAACCCCAGGGCTAGTGCTGTGGATGCTCACCGTGCGTCCCTTCACCCCAGGACTCATTCTTCCTGAGGGCCCACTGTGTGCTGAAGCCCGACATCCAGAGTACAGGGGAGATTCAGACCCCACAATTCCTGACCTGCTGGGCACCAGGGCCAGGCCAGGGCTTTCCCCACTTACTCATTTCCCCTGATGTTTTCTGGGGACCTACTGTGTGCCAGGGCCAGTGCCGGCGATGCCAGACCAGAAGCAAAAAGTCCGACAGTCCCTGGTTCCTTCGCAGAACCGAGCTGAGCTGAGAGGCCTCCCAGGTCTGGGCTCTCCTCCTCCAGTTATACACCCGCAGATCACTTGTGCTTAACTTATTTTCAAAGAAATCATGTTTTTCAAACTTTTGGGGTTGGAACAAAGAAACTTGAGGATGGCTTGGACAAGGATATGAAGAGATCACTCCGTTGGGATGATGCTGCAGCTGTTTAGGAGATGATTTTGCTTAGACACGCAAGCGAAGGTATTTACCAGTGAAGCGAGGTCAGATCTTATAACGTATTCCAAAATAAATTTGGAAACAGACGTTTCCATGACCTATTTCAAAAGCAGTTTTCTATTGTAGAGCTTAGTAAACTCTTGTTTTTTTTTGGTGTTGTTTAAAATTTCAAGGGTGTTGGATTAGGGAATGCACCATGCTTTATACTTTTCGGTATACTTGGAAAATCTTCTTGTTTTTCTTTTAAACGTGGGGTTTTTGTGCAAACCTGTTGTCCTAGGCACAGGGCAATTCGTCAGTCGACATTGTGCCCAAACTGTGGGCACCTCGGGGTACGCCTTGTGTAGGGTGTAAAAGGATGAATGGAATCCCCAGGGGTGCCTTGTGTAGGGTGTAAAAGGATGAATGGAATCCCCAGGGGCCCACCCCGTGTGGGGGCGCATTCAGGCAAATGAGCGAATATTCGCTTACCGGAAATAGGACAAAGGCAGCCAGGGACCACAGACAATGGTGCCTGGGGGTCCCCTAGGAGGACTCTGGGGGGACTTGGTGCCCCTGGGGGGATTTGGCGCCCCTGGGGGGGGTACTCGGTGCCTCTGGGGGGGACTTAGTACCTGGTGGGGGTTCGGTGCCGGGGGAGGGGTGACTGGTTTGATTGCACAAGTTGCCCACCACGGGGCCGTGAGTGGTGAGACAATGTTGGGGTTCTGCTGTGATTATGGCTCCGAGGGAGGCCGCGGCGGACCTGCGCCCAGTACTGCGGCGGCGGGGCGCCCCGAAGGCAGAGGCTCCTGGAAGGGGGGTCCTTTGGTGTGCGGTGCCGGCCCCGTGCCTCCAGGGCTCCCCGACCCCGCGGCCGCGCCGTCTCCGCCCTCAGCCCGTGGGAGGCGCGGCGCGGCCAGTCTCTCCGCTGCAGAGTCCGGCGGGGCCACAGCCCGTGCGTCCTGCTCCCGGCGGCTCCGCCGCAGTCTCGGTTCCGGACCTGCAGGGCAGAAAAGGGAAACCCGAGCCGGCGCCCTTTGTCTCGGGTGCCCATTGTCGTGGGGAGCTGGCGGAGCGGGGTCGCGCTCAGGTCAGGGGGCGCCAGGCTGGGGTCGGGCTGGGAGGCGAGCGGGGCCCAGGCCGGGGCAGAGGCGCGGTGGCCACGCGGGCGAGGGTCAGATGGCGCAGGGGCTCGGGCGCTGAGGGCGCGGGCCGGGTGTGGGGGCCCCTCGTGCTGGGGGCCTCGCGCCCTCGGGTTGCACCCCTCTCCCGGGGGCGCAGCGGGCGTCGGGGAGAGGACGGACGGACGGGCGGGCAGGGGAGGGAAGGGGCCGACGCGGGGGTCGCCCCGCCTTTGCACCGCGAAGGAACAGACGCGCACTCAGCGCAGCCGCGCCGTCCCCGTCCCGGTCCCGGTCCCGCTCCGGGGTCTTTGGGCGGCCTCCGCCGGGCGCGGCGAGTTCGGGCCGCTTCTCCTCGGCCCCAGACCCCAGTCCCGCCGCGGCGCGGGAGGGCGACACATCATGGAGGCTCCCGCGCCGGGAACTACAACTCCCAGAAGGCGCCGCGCCGCCGAGACTACAACTCCCAGAATCCCCAGGCGGGCTGGGGGCGGGGCGTGCCCGCGGGGGCGGGGCCGGCGCGCGGACCAGAGAGGCGGAGGCGCCGGCCCCAGGTCACGCAGCGGCCCGCGGCGCCCTCAGCCCACAGGCGCCCCCGCGCGCCCCCAGCTGCGCGTCCAGCCCTCGCCGGTCGCTCGCGGGCTCGGCCGATTCCCCGCAAACGTCGGGGGCTCCCCAGTGCGAACACGGGTGACGCCGACAGACCCGCCCGCGCCCCTCACGCCTGTAGCGCCGCCGGCGGGCCCCGAGGGGGCAGAACAGGGGGCGCGGGGTCTCCGGGGAAGGAGCCCCAGGGGAGCCCGGGAACCGTCTCAGCGCCCGCCGCCCCCGCCTTCCCGCGCCCGCCGCGGGGCCTGTCCGGGGCCGGGCGGCGCCTCCGGAGCTGGCGCGCGGGGAGCGGGGCGTCTGCGCCGGGGATCGTCTCCCCGGAGCCCCGGGGTCCCCGCGGGCCTCCCCTGACGGCACGAGCCCACCGGCGGCCGGGGTCGCCCCTCGGGGACGGGCTGACGGGCACGAGCGCACTGGGGGCCGGAGCCCGAGCAAGCGCGGGACCCCGGCTCCGGAGGCGCAGGAGGGGGAGGAGGGCGGGGAGGGCCCGGCGGGACCCCCCAGGCTGGGGAGGGAGGGCGGGGAAGGGCGCGGGCGCGCGGGCTCTCGGCACAGTCGCCAAGTCATGTTGGGGTGCGGAGGGGCGCAGGGGCTGATAAACTGCGCAGCTCGCGCCCCAGACGCGCCGAGGGCGGGCGGGTCGGGCTCCCGGGCCGGGCGGGCGCTGCATCGGACGAAGGAGCAGCCTCGGCCGAGCTTTCCGGGGCCAGAACGGGGTGGGGGTGGGGGGTGCTCGTCGGCCCCGAGCCCGGAAGGCAGGGGAGCCCCTCCCCGGAGACCCGCCCTGGCGCGGGGTCCTGGACGCCGAGGCCCGCGCTGGGCAGGACGCGCTCCGGACCCCCGAGTCCGGCGCCCGCCCGCGGGCTCCCCAGGGCCGGCCCGCGCTGTCCGGAGACGGGGCGTCGGGGCGCGAGCGGGGTCTAGCGCCTGGGAAAGGGAAGGGGGTGTCGAGGGCCCCAGACAGACGCCGGGCGGGACGCGCATGAGCCGGGGCGCCGCGGGGTCGGGAGCCCGAGGCCGGGTCCGGGCGGCGCCGGCGGCGTTTCCGGGGACGGAGGGGCCGCGGGGACCCGGTCGGGGCCGCCGCATTTAGGGCCGCGCGGGGGAGTCGGCGGCTGCCCCGCCCGCGCCCGCCCTCAGCTCCGCCGGGCCGTCCCCCGCGCCCTGGTCCCGCCGCCCCCGGCTCGGTCTGCGCGGGGCCGGGACAGCGGCGGCGAGGACGGGGCTGCGGGGACGCCGGGGACCGTGGGGGGGCCCCGCTCCGCCCCACTTTCCTTCGGGCTTCAACGGCCGAGCCGCTGGCCGCAGCCCCCAGCCCGCTCTCCCGCCGGCGGGGGGGGGGTCCCCAGGGCGCCCGGAGCGCGAGAGCCCGCGGGGAGGCCCCGTCACTGCGGCTCCGCGACCCTCCCGGGGCGGAGGCTGAAGCGGAGCCGCGGGCGGGGCCGGCCCGGAGGGACCCCGTTGTCACGGGTGCAGGTGACCCTGGGGCTCATCTCCTGCCCGGGGGTGGGGAGCGCCTGCACCCCGCCTCTGTGGGGCCCCCACGGGAAAGGAACCCGCGCCGGGTGTGCGGCTGGAGCAGGAGAGGGGGGGGGAAGCAGCCACCACATCCCCCCGCCACCCCCGTGTCCCCCCCTTTCCCCATCCCCCCTCGCCGAGGCTCCCCCAGGCCGACAGGCCCCGGCGCGCCCCTCTCCTCCCTTGGGCAGCGCTTCCCGGCGGTGCTCACCGTGTCTGGCGGGGCGGGAGGGGCTGCTGCTTCCTCCTCGGGCCGCGGACTCTCTGGCCGGGCGGGCGGGCGGGGCCGGCGGGAAGGGCTGGACACGGACCGCGCTGGGGCTCCTGTTGGGCCCTGAGGAGCAACGGGCCGGCCCTGAGCGTGACCCCGCGGCCGCGGGCTCGCCCCCCACCCCCTCCTCAGGGCCCTGAGGGCGCCTCGGGTCGGGCTCCTCTCTGTCCTGCGGGCTGTTTTCACTCCCGCGGGTTTAGGGTGGAGCTCGGGGCACGAGGTAAACTTTCCCCAGGCCCAGCAGCGGGAGGCCAGAGCAGGTGCGGGTGCCCGGGTGTGCGCAGCTGATGGGGGGGAGGGTCCCTGCCTCCGCCCCGAGGGGAGCCTCTCTTCACCCCAATGTGACCGCAAGCGCAGAGCAGGTGTCCCCGAGAGTATCAGGGTATCGCGGGGGCGCCTCCTCGGCCGCTGACCCCAAGTGCTGTTCAGAATTCCGTGTCTTTGGGGAGCGTCTCCCCTTCTCTGTCGGGTGTTTGGCCTGCAGAGTCCAGTCTCCTGTAATCTCCCCCTGTCGGGGAGCCCGAGGGCAGTGGACTCGCTTTCAGCTTAGGCCGCCCAAGAAAGGGCTGGAGAAACCACCGCGCCAGAGGCCACACGTTTCTGCAACCCCGGGAGAGATGAGGGGGCGGGGGCAGAGGCAGAGCGGAGCCACAAAGGTGGTCACAGGCCTGGAGGACCCCCTGGCATCTGTGCCTTCATGCAAGGCCCCAGGGCCCCATCTTTCAAGGCCCTCCCTGCACACTTGACCCCTGCTCTGCTCCTCCCCCTTACTCCCCGCTCCTGTCACTGCACCCCCAAGGCCCTCCCTGTCCTATCCCCAATGTCATGAACTGAAAGAGCAGCTGATTCGCAGGCCCCACTTCCAAGTGGGGACCCTCGTATCTTTGGACGCCTTGGCTGGCGCTGCTCCTCTCCCCAACAGTGCAGACAACTCGCGGACTTTATGACTCTGGGGGCCTTGACGGAGATGATGGTGGGCACCTGAGGCTGCTGGTACCCAAAACTCAGCCCTAACCCTGAGCACAGCGTCGCCTTCCTCTCTGGAGGCACTGCCCTGTGCACCCCCCTTCTCAGATGTGTCAACCTCTGTTTCCTGCCCTCCCCTTTCTTCTGGTGAAGTCCTAGTAGCTCTGTGAGTGCTCCCCAAGTCCAGAGCTGCCCCATCTCTGATTCCAGATCCCACCCTAGCGGGAGCCTCTCACCAGAAACAGAAACCTTGGTGCAGGGGAGCGGCTCCCTTTGGCAGAAGCTGCACAGCCGCGGGGCAGCGAGTCTGAGAACCCGCGGGACCAGGTCGTGCTGGGTAAGAGTGGGAAGGGGAACCCAGCCTGTAGGATTCCTGGGGTGCAGTATCAGGTCAATGGAAAGGGACACGGAGTGCCCCCAAAGCAGGACGGCGGGAGATCTGTACAGTTGTTGTGATCTTTATAAAAACCTTTTCCTAAGAGAAATGCCCTGTACCTTCAGCTGGAGCCTTTTCTCTTTTGCCTGAAAACGCTCATATAATGGATCCCGTGATGTGTTTTCTCTTTCAGGCTAATGAACAGCGCCCCTGGTGTTGACGCAGCGCAGGGTGACCGGGAAGCTCGGGTAAGTGACACTCAGATGCCAGAGCTTTGATTACGAGGCATAAATGAAAAATGAATCCGTGTTAATAAAACCATGATTGATGTTGTCATCGCCTCTGGAGATCATCTCATTCGTGGCTCCCCACACGAGTATCTTCTCATTTTGAGAGAAATACTTTATCCCATAACTGCAATGAAATAAAATAAATTGCATACAGGTAGCGAGTTCCCCCTGATATGTTACTTTTTCCTATTATGGAACATTCATAAAACAGAGCATTTAAAAAAAACCACCTTGGTGTTATTTTTCTACAAAGACACATTAGATGTGTTTGGGGAAGATGAAGAGAGAATATTCCTGAGATAAAGCCAATTTATCATGTTATAGAGGACATGGTGTTATAATAAGGCCACTGTGGAGCTACCACAAAAGTTCAGGTGAGTGTTTTCATGCCCCCGGCTCTCCTACTGCCTGTGGCCTCTCCACTGCATGAAGCAGGGTTTGAGCTCTAGGAGAGACAGAAAGTGAAAGCCCCAGTTGAACTATCAGCTATGATCTCTGCCAGCACACTGGATTGATACTGACCTGTGACAGCTTCAGCTGGACATGGGAATTCCATTCTATTCCATTCTTCTTTTTCTTTTTGTAAAGGCAAGGAACTAGTCACAGGGAGACGCTATCAGCTATACAGAATTTTGTTTTATGAAATATCCTGGCCCCATGCATTATCCTGTCCTGCTCCTCTCGTATGTGTAGACAACTTTCAGGACTCTTGTATTTGGAAGCTGGAAGGGCACAGACTTTGAAGTAGTGTCTTGTTTTCACTGCTTTATTTTTAATTAAAGCTATATACAGCTGGGGATTAAATAATAAATTTCTAAATTTAAAAATGAAGAAAAAGGGCAAAGGATGTTTATTTGGGTTTAAAAGCTAGCCAGAGCACAGGTTCAGGCTAGAAACCCAAACCCCCTCACTAAAAAAAAATGAGGTGACCTTAACTCCCAACGCTGCTGCTCTGTCCTCACCTGCGTGACTAGCAGGAGGCCATGTTTCATCCTCAAATGTTTTTCTGTAACCACATGGAATTCTTAAGACTTTTTAAAAATTACTTTTCCCCTGCCAAGGAGCAAGGAGGTCATTTTACCACTGGACTCTTCATCAGCTTCTGTTACTGGTCCAGATAATGATAGGGAGTTGTGTATATGATAGAAAATGTGAAGAGTAGAATAAAATAGGATGAACAGTATCAAAAAGTACTCTTATGACTTAGCACGTTTCCTTCCTAGTTTTTTCCCCCATATTTGCAATTGTCAAATAGAATGCCTGTGTAGGAGGTGAGCATTCGCTTGAGACTCAGAAAATGAGCTTCCATTAAATAGGTCAAGAAATGTAAAGTCACATCATATGATCTTTGTCCATAAGGAAGCCCCTATATGGCTGTCACTAATTTTTTTCTTTGCTCTTCACTACATATCCTGGTATGTTATCACTGCATGTATCATTAAAATGTGATTTTAATTTTGTGTGATGCTTAATCTTTAAATTAATCATGTTTCTGTCTGGGATGTCACAACAGTATGATGGCAAGACTAGTCCACATTTTGGATGCAGCCAGACTGTTTATTTTTGCTGCTGTTTAACAGTCCACTCGATGCTGTTGTTTACATTGTGTTCCACTCGGGTAAGGGGTAAGGAGAGGCTGGTTCATTAATATTTTCCTTCTGTGGTGGAATGACAGCATGCCTGAATCCTCCACTTTCAACATTTAATACTAATAGAAGTGCTTTCCAGATCATTAAAAACTCTTCAGCATTATTGTATCTAGCTTTTACATTTAATTCTGTATATATTGGCGGTTTTTATTTAGATAGTTTCAAATCACTTTACTGTAAATAAAGTGTTGGTGAACATTTTTACACGTACGTATTTTTTATCTGAATTTGGAAACATTTCTTTAGGTCATTTCCAAAAATAAAGTCACTATTTCCATTGAAAATGTAAGTATTTCAGGGCCTCCCGGTGGCGCAGCGGGCTGAGCGCCGCGCTGAAGCGTCCGCAGCCCCAGCGCCGGGTCGATCCCCGCCGGCCTCGGAGCAGCCCCCAGGGCGCGGCAGACCCGCCTGTCTCCCGGCTGCGCCCTCGGCGGTGCGCTTCGCCAGGCGGCCGGTTCCGCTCCCCGCCCTGTCTCTGCGGCGGCCTCGCCCCCTCCCGCGCCCCCGGCCCGTCCCCGGCGGTTATAGAAATAAAGAAATCTTTAAAAAGAAAATGTGAGTATTTTAAATTCAAAGCTCCCCGCAGAGGTTGCGAACTTACTTCCCAGGAACAGTGAGGCCAGGTCTCCTCTCCTGCCGTCACTTGCTCTGTCCCGCTGTCCTGGTGAAGCCTCCCGCCCTCCCCTGCGCCGCGGCGCGGGCCTCACTCCTCTCAGCTCCGCCATTGCCCGGCGCCAGCAGCGCTCTCAGGCCTCCGGCCGGTCCTTTATTAGCGCTTTGGGCCCTTTAAGCGCGTCCTCGGCAGTTACATCATCACTCTGAGACTCCCAGGATGCACCAGGCGGAGCGTGAGAGGCCGCGCCAAGAGCGGCTCCCAGGGGCAAATTAAAAGAGTGAGAGGAGCGAGTCTCGCCGCCTTGTGGACTGGGGTGGTATCGTGGGAAAATCGAGGCCAGAAATGCGAGCGGGTCTGGAAGTCTGGCGTCAAGAGCGGCTCCCGGAGGCAAAAATAAAGGGCGAGACGAGCGCGTGTCGCCGCCTTGTGGACTGGGGTGGTATCGTGGGAAATTCGCTGCGCAAAACTACATCTGGACCACAAGTGGCGGCGCCAAGAGCGACTCCCGGAGGCAAAATTAAAAGAGCGAGAGGAGCGCGTGTCGCCGCCTTGTGGACCGGGGTGGTATTGTGGGAAAATCGCGGAATGGAACACCAGCGGGACCGGAAGTGGCTGCACCAAGAGCGGCTCCCGGAGGCAAAAATAAAGGGGCGAGAGGAGCGAGTGTCTCCGCCTTGTGGACTGGGGTGGTATCGTGGGAAAATCGCGGCCCAAAACGCCAGGTGGACCGGAAGTGGTGGCGCCAAGAGCGGCTCCCGGAGGCAAAATAAAGGCGCGAGATGAATGAGTGTTGCCGCCTTGTGGACTGGGGTGGTATCGTGGGAAAATCGCGGCAAGAAATGCGAGCGGGTCTAGAGGTGGTGGCGCCAAGAGCGGCTCCCAGAGGCAAAAATAAAGGGCGAGACGAGCGCGTGTCGCCGCCTTGTGGACTGGGGTGGTATCGTGGGAAATTCGCTGCGCAAAACTACATCTGGACCACAAGTGGCGGCGCCAAGAGCGGCTCCCGGAGGCAAAATAAAGGCGCGAGATGAACGAGTGTTGCCGCCTTGTGGACTGGGGTGGTATCGTGGGAAAATCGCGGCCCAAAACGCCAGGTGGACCAGAAGTGGCGCCAAGAGCAGCTCCCGGAGGCAAAAATAAGAGCGAGAGGAGCGAGTGTCGCCGCCTTGTGGACTGGGGTGGTATCGTGGGAAAATCGCGGCCCAAAATGCCAGGTGGACCAGAAGTGGTGGCGCCAAGAGCGGCTCCCGGCAGCAGAATGAAGGTGTGGGTGGGACGTGTGGCGCCACCTTGTGGCCCAGACGGGTAATGCGCGGAAACGCAGACTGATGATGGCAGGGGTATGGACAAGGTAAAGCGCCTGGAGGGGTGAGAGAGGTGGAGAGTAAGGCAGGAAACGGGGGGAGGACCGAAATAACGGGCCCAAACAAAGAATAATGTGCGGGCTGGACTGTGAATAAGGCAGAGACGTGTTTCAGAGCAATGAAAAGGACAGTGAGGAGCATGTGAAAAATAACGAGGGAGGGCGCCGCCTGGTGGCCATCAGTGGCCAGACAGCGTATCCCTGACAAGTGGCCAAAGGGGAGGAGAGGCCCAGGTGGCCGAGCTCGGGCACCACGAGGGGCCCTGTGGGGCGGAATCGAGTGAAGGCGGGGAACAGCCATGACAGGTGAAGGGGCGGCCAGTGCAGAGGCAGGAGCAGCAGAGCGTGGTGGGAATTTGCATCCAGGAAAACCGGACAGACTAAAATGTTAGTGAGACTAGAAAATCTGTCCTCACTTTTCCTGAGAAATAAGTTCACAACCCCTCTTCAGGGAACTTTGAATTTGAAATACTTGAATTTTTAATGGAAATAGTAATTTTATTTTTGGAAATGACCTAAGGAAATGTTTTCAAATTCAGATAAAAATCTTTATGTGTAAAAATGTTCACCAACACTTTATTTACAGTAAAATGATTTGAAACTAAAAAACCCCAATATATACAAAACTAAATGTAAAGACTGGACAGATACAGCAACACTGAATAGTTTTTAATGCTGTGGAGAGTACTTACAGTGCAGTGTTAAATGATGAAGTAGCATATAAAATTTTAGCGATGATGTAAGCATACTCTCCTTAACCCTTATGTGTGAGTAGAACACAATGTAAACAACAATGGTACACCAAGTAGAATATTACACAGCAGTGCAAATAAAGGCCTCAAGCTGCATCCAAAATGTGGACTAGTCTTGCCTTCATACTGTTGAGTGACATTCAAGACAGAAACAGAACATGATTTAATTTATTTAAATTAAAGGGCCTCCCCGGTGGCGCAGCGGTTGAGCGCTGGGTTGTGAAGCTGCCCGCAGCCTCTGCAGCGCCGGTTCGATCCCCAGCTGCTCCCTGGCCACTGGAGGAGGGTCCCACATGGCACGCAGACCTCTCCTGCAGCCCGCTGCTCCCCTCAGCAGTGTACTTAGGTCCTTCTGCCTGCTCTGCTCCCCACTCTGGCTCTGGTGAATTCCTTCACCGTCCCGCGCTTCTGACTGTACCCAGTGCTTGTATGAATGTATGTATAAATCAATCAATCAATAAATAAATCTTTAAAAAACAAATAAATAAATAAATGCCAGACAAAATTAAAATCACATTTTAATGATACATGCAGTGATACATACCTAGGATATGTAGTGAAGAGCAAAGAAAAAAATTAGTGACAGCCATACAGGGGCTTCCTTATGGACAAAGATCATGATATGATGTGACTTTACATTTCTTGACCTATTTAAAGGAAGCTCATTTTATAATTCTCAAGCTACTACCTACCTTCTACACAGGCATTCTATTTCACAATTGCAAATATGGGGGGAAAACTAGGAAGGAAACGTGCTAAGTCATAAGAGTACTTTATGATACTGTTCATCCTATTTTATTCTACCCTTCCATAATATACATATTCTATAATATACACAACTTCTACATTTTCTATAATATACAAACTCCCTATCATTATCTGGACCAGTAACAGAAGCTGATGAAAAGTCCATTGGTAAAATGACCTCCTTGCTCCTTGGCAGGGGAAAAGTAATTTTTAAAAAGTCTTAAGAATTCCATGTGGTTACAGAAAAACACTTTAGGATGAAACATGGCCTCCTGCTAGTCACACAGGCGAGGGCAGAGCAGCAGTGCTGGGAGTTAATGTCAAGGTCAGCTCATTTTTTTTTTTTTTTAGTGAGGGAGATTGGGTTTCTAGCCTGAACCTGTGCTCCGGCTAGCTTTTAAACCCAAATAAACAACTTTTGCCCCTTTTCTTCATTTTTAAATTTAGAAATTTATTCTGTTGAATCCACAGCTGTATATAGCTTCCATTACAAATGAAAGTGAAAACAAGACACTACTTCAAAGTCTGAGCCCTTCCAGCTTCCAAATACAAGAAAGTTGTCTATACCTACGAGAGGAGCAGGACAAAATAATGAATGGGGCCAGGATATTTCATAAAACAAAATTTTATATAACTGAAAGCTCCTCCTTGTGACTAGTTCATTGCTTTTACAAAAAGGAAAAGAAAAGAATAGAACAGAGGGGCCTCCCAGGGACACAAGGGGTTAAGACACTGCTCTATAAAGCAACTGCAACACGAATTGATCCCTGTCTAGGGAGCTGGCGCAGCAGACCTCACATGGCGCAGCAGACCTCTCCTGTCTCCCTGCTGCTCCCCTTAGCAGTGTGTTTCAGTCAGTCTGCCTGTTCTGCCCCCCACTCTGTCTCTGATGAATCCTCTCACCCCCCCCCAATCTCTGGCTTGTACCCTACTTCTTATATGCATAAATAATCTTTTTTAAAAAGAATGATTTATTTATGCACACAAGAACTGGGGTACAGGCCAGATGTGTAGGGGGGTGAGAGGATTCACCAGAGACAGAGTGGGGAACAGAACAGGCAGATCTACTGAAATATACTGCTGAGGGGAGCAGTGGGCGTTGACAGGAGAGGTCTGCCGTGCCATGCGGGACCCTCTCCAGCTGGCGGGGATCGAACCGGCGCTGCAGAGGCTGCGGACAGCTTCCCAGCACTGTGTTCAACCGCCTGCGCCACCAGGGGAGGTCCTGTTTTAAATACAATTCTTAACACACCTCACTTTATTCGCATTTAGAGTTAAGACCTTCTACCTTTTGATTTTTAGATTGTAAGAGTTTATGAAAGAATTTCATCTTTATTTATCCTGCAGGCCCAGAGGTGATCATTTTTCCAAAGTCCGAGCCCTGAGCGACAGAGCACCCATCTCCCCAGCAGGGGCAGATTCACACCTTAAAGCAAGCAGAGGGCAGAAAAACAGGAGACTTCCAAGAGCTCACCTGGTCATCTGGGGCGCACAAGTCAGGCTCCTGCCCAGAGAAAGTCCATCAGTCACTCCGTGAAACTTTTAGTCTACCCTCAGGCCTTGTCCCAACATAACTCCAGCTAATGAGCAGGTCACAGTGGGCTGTGGCAGGAGGCACAGGCGGGTCTGCTGCAGGCTCCGGGACTCTCAGCCTTTCACCGACAGCGTCCACCGCAGCAAGATCCTAAAATATCCGCAAGTCATGAAAACAGCAAACAAGGTTGCTTGAATTTCTGGGAAAGATTTTTTTTTTTAATCATTGCTAAAAATCCCCTTACCTGAAGCTGACAAAAAAGCAAGGCTTGGGGCCTCCCTGGTGGCGCAGGGGTGAAGCACCGCACTATGAAACTATCCGCAGCCTCTGCAGCACAAGATCCATCTGATGGAGGACAAGAATGGAGAGACTGGAAAGAAAGCCTCACAAGACTAAAACCTGACTCACGCAAGGAGGTGGGGGTCGAGGGGAATCACACGACCTTTAACCCAGCTGTGGAGGTCGGACCCTCAGGCGCCAGTGCCTTGTCACAAGGCAGGAGACCTGAGCAGGATCAGATGGTCTAGGGAGTGGCGCACAGGCCTGAGGGGAAGGATATGGAGATTGGGCCCACCCTGGAACCTCTGGTCCCTTTCTAGTGTTGCCTGTTACCCAACATCAGCAACAAGCAGCCACTCCATGGAGGAGTGACTCTCCCAAAGAGAAAAGGACTGTATCGGGGCAGTCTCTGCACAGGCACGGGGCAGCACTCCCACTGCACACCCATGACTATGCAGGTGCCTCTTTTCACCAACTCTCTCCCTCTGCAGGGCAGCAGCCTCCTGCCTGCCATGACCTGTCAAGACTGCCCATCTGCAACCATGCAGGCCTCTCTCAGCAAAACCTGTCCCTTTCCCTAATAAACCTGCTCTTTAAATATAACTAATGTCTCTGTCTCATGGAGAAACGTGCCAGGGGAACTCACCAGGTGCCGCTGAAATGGGAGCTCTGGGGACACCTTTGCCAGAGTGAACCCTAGAACCCGCACGCACTCTACAACCTACAACATTATGGCAACCACAAAGGAACTTGTCACGTCATCTGGTGCCAACATCACATCCCCAGCCAGGAAGGTGACCCACAGGGTGCCGCAGACCTCTCCTGTCTCCCCGCTGCTCCCCTCAGCAGTGGATTTCAGTCAGTCCACCTGTTCTGTCTGTGGTGAATCCCCTTACCCCCACCCCCACACCTCTGGCCTGCACCCTAGCTCTTGTATTCATAAGTAAATCAATCTGTAAAAAATTAAAATAAAATAAAGGCATGACTAAAACATCATTTACCTGCAGATCATGAAATGGATCCTATAGCAACATTAAAAAGCAGCTGTTGGGCCTCCCCGGTGGCACAGCGGTTGAGCGCTGGGTTACGAAGCTGCCCGCAGCCTCTGCGGCGCCGGTTCGATCCCCGGCTGCTCCCCGGCCACCGGAGGAGGGTCCCACACGGCGCGCAGACCTCTCCTGCCGCCCGCTGCTCCCCTCAGCAGTGTACTTCGGTCCTTCTGCCTGCTCTGCTCTCCGCCCTGGCTCTGGTGAATTCTCTCACCCTCCCGCGCTTCTGACTGTACCCAGTGCATGTATAACAAACAAACAATAAATAAATAAAAATAAAACATGCCTCTAGAAAAAAAAAAAGCAGCTGTTATTCAAAATACATTCCGAGAAAAATGAAGGCTCTCATCTCCACATTTAACGTTTCTCTTTGCACATCATGGTGTGGCACAATACACCGTGGCCCAAACTCTGACATCACTGAGTCTGCACTGTAGTTTGGTGTAATATTCAGCCTTGAGCCTGGAGCCTGTGTTTATCTTTGGGGCTCAGACGGGTCTCCCGGGGACTGCATAAACTTGGGTTTTGTTTCCTGAACTGAGGCTGGCCTCTCTCTGCCTTTGGATGGGTGAGTTCAATAGAAGATCTTCTACTGCCACTTTGACTTTAGTTTTCTGGCTCTATTTCCCTGCTCAGCTTTTTCTTTTTTCTTTTTTTTTTTTGAATTTTCTTCTCTTTAAATTATTTTCTTTCAGGGAAGATCTAGTGTTAGTGGACCACTTCTTCAGCTTTTGTTTGTCTGGGAAGAACATAGTACTCTCTCGTCTCTATAGGACAATCCTGCAGGTTAGGATATTTGTGACTCGTATATTTTATCTCTATTCTGAATACGTTATTTCATGCTCTCCTTGCCCTACAGTCCTCCAGAAATGTAAGTTGGGTCCATCCCCACATATGCACGGTCCATGACAGAAACTTGTTAAGAGGTGCTGGGATCTGGACCTCGTCCTGGCACCGTTACCTGAGCATTCTGAAAGGATAACTCACAAACCTAGAGCCGTAGATATCACCTACAAGGCTTTCCATGAAAACCAGCATCAGGCTCATCATCAGTACACTCTACCTATAGACCAGAGAGAGAGAGATTGAAGATGAAAATTTCAATAGAAAACAGTCCAATAAATCCAGAAAAGAAAAAAAAATTATTATATAAGGAAAACATAGCCAAGATCACCAATTTCCTGGAGCACAAGGACCACAGGGAAAGCTTTGGGTCTGGGGACATTGCAAGAGTTGTGCCTACCGTTGGAGCGCCATGCAAGAAATCCCAGGTCCAGACATGCAAATGAGCCCTCTTACTTTCCTTTTACTTTGTGAAATGTAAGTGTTTATTATTGTAAAATAATCTCCTTGTACTCACAGAGTATTTCTGCTGGGAGAAAAAGATGAGAAGAATAGGTCAGGGGCTACCAGCAAACATTTCCATTTTAAAGCCATATCAGTGACTCATCCAGGGCTGTGACCATATAAGGCCAAATGTGGCATTTACTCTATGAAGCTAATTCATTTCCTGCATGTTTGCTTGGGGCATTATTTCATTTCTCTGGAAGTTCCTATAAGATTCAGAATATATAATGTTATTCATTGTACCCAAAAATATAATGGGTCTTTATAATGTAGTAAATAAAAATGATATTTTAGGGTATCATCACTGTGAATGTTACAATAATCTCAAAGTCTAAAATCCATTTACCTTATTCACAGAAATTCATGCATTCTACATGGATATAGAATATTGAATTGAATTGTTTCCTCTGTTTATTGAGATGAGCTCTATAGACTGACCTCATTTTAGTGGATTTATTTCATACACTGTTCCCAATGTGAGTTACTTTGTATTCAGGGCTTTATATGTACCTAGTTGGCCAGAAAACTGAGCAGGCAAAATATAAGCAGACCAAAAATACCACAAAAATAGCAACAAAATACCCTCTTATGTTCAGAACAACTGAATAGCAACATTTCTCTCTATCAAAGACAAGAAGCTACCTAGAAATCGTTTTTTCAACGCTATAATATAGTGACAGCCTGAAATTAATGAGACAAAAGGAGCTTTCCCGGATCCCGCGCAGTTCTGAGTGATCATGTGACTAGTTCTTCCCAATAGAAGGTGAGCAGATGTGACAGATGTCACCTCTGGACATGTTAAGAAACTCATGTTCCTTCTCAATGAACTCTTAGTCCACACCCAAAGAATGGATGTGATACGCTATGACATTTTCAAGGATACCTGATCTGTGAGCCTGAGGTTGCTAGTATTCTTGCAAGACCTCGCAAGAAAAAACTGGTTCCATCAGAATTGTTTCTTAGAAAGAATCATTTTATAAGAAAAAAATGTTTTGGGCCTCCCCAGTGGCGTAGCAGTTGAGCACTGGGTTGCAAAGCTGCCCGCAGCCTTTGCAGCACCGGTTAGATCCCCAACCACCAGATGAGGGTCCCACATGGTGCACACAACCTCTCCTGCCACCCACTGCTCCCCTCAGCTGTGTACTTCGTCACTCTACCTGTTCTTCTCTCCACTCTGGCTCTGGTGAATTCTCTCACCCTCCCGCGCCTCTGACTGTACCAAGTGCTTGTATAAATAAATATTTTTTAAAAAGAGAAAAATGTTTTATTCTGTTGCATTTGGATTTAATTATCACCACAATCTTGTGTGTCTTCACTAATCTTTATGATGAATATACTCTCTGCTATTGCTTACAAATCTTTAATATTTCCAGAGATCTCAGTCTATGTATCTCCCTAGGAGCTCTGTAACGTCACCTATTTTCATTCACGTGCACATACTCTGTGGGTATTGCATTGTGTTATCGACTTTACTGGGGAAGGGAGCAGTTGGTCATATAGATTGGTATGAAATGAAATTGTTACTGGAATGATAACCATGACATTAATAGCAATACCTGTAGATAAGTAGTGATTTTACCAGTTCTTAAAAGTAGAACTACATCCCCTTAAATTTAGCCAATACTATTTGCTGTGCCCATGAACATTCTCTGACAATGTGATGAGACCGCACTTCCTGCCTTCGTTATTCAGACAGAAAAAGTTGTTTCATGGAACACGTGTTTTAGATGAAAAGGAACAGGTAGGAAAGAAAACTATAATGCAAATCTAGACCCATAGCAGGATAGTTGACAGCTGTATGTCTGCAGGAAAAAGAGAGTCAATATTTTCTGTGAGGATAGACTGAAATGGGATTAAAGTACAGCTGGATTTTATCTGATGTTCAATAACAGTACACATTTCTCTCAGACGTAAAAGTAGTATCTGGATGAGTTTGACAACTTGGACTACTCAGTAATCACAAATTCTATCAATTTTTTGTATATAAATATTGATAATTTTCATCTAGCTAATGTGGCATTTCAGAAATACGAATGCCTTGCTAAATACTGTTGTAATAGATTCAGGTTTGTTCAATGATGCCTACGTGATGACTTCTCTAAAACCTTACCAAAATGATGTACACAATTCATGACCTTTTTACTAGACTGAGAAAGATACAACCCCGTGATCTCAAGAACTGTATGATACTATATGCACTGTATGCACTCAGATTCTTCTAGAAATTTCCTAATTATGTTTATATATGAGCTTGATCAGTATGTTTGAAATATTATTCTGAAGAAAATAGATCATATATATAATAACATACTTTTCATTAAACTATTAACTATTCTTCCATCAACATTCAGTTAATCCTATGTATCAAATAAATCACATTCCCAAATATTTTCTTTTGTTTTATGCTTGTCAGGCAGAATTTTATGTTCATTATTATATTCCTATGCATAATGTGCAAGTTCCTGCCAAAATGCAGAGGTAATTCATATGAGCAAAGACTTTTTTTGGTGGGGGGGAGCAAGGGGTTAGACATTTTAGTTATTTAAAAAACACAAGAGGGCCTCCCTGGTGGCGCAGGCGGTTGGGCACCACACTGTGAAGCTGTCCGCAGCCTCTGCAGCATGGGTTTGATCCTGGCCGGCCGGCAAGAGTCCCACATGACGAGGCAGACCTCTCCTGTCTTGCCCGCTGCTCCCCTCAGCAGTGTATTTCATCGGTCTGCCTGTTCTGTTCCCCACTCTGTCTCTGGTGGATCCTTTTACCTCCCGCATTTCTGGCCTGTACCCCAGTTCTTGCATAAAAATAAATAAATCTTTAAAAAAAAAACACGAGAAACTCTTAGTGTCATCTTGTAAATGCTATGAAAGCTAACAACAAGGATTATAGTGATATCCATTACTCTAAGGACAAAGAATGAAATTTAGCCTGGCCCACAGACCCTGGATCATCTGTACTGGATCCTCCTTTCTTAAAATAAACAGGAAGATATGCCCAGCTCATGGGTTGGAGGAATCAACATTGTCAAAAGGGCCATCCAAACCAAAGCAATTTAGAGATTCAATGCAATCCCCAAAAAAATCCCAATGGCGTTCTTCAAAGAAATAGAACAAAGATTACTGAAGTTCATCAGAAATCACAGAAGACCCCAAATAGCCAAAGCTGTCCTGATATCAAAGAGGAGAAATGAAGGTATCCCACCTCTGATTTCCAACCATGCTATAAAGCCAGAGAAGTTAAAGCAGCATGGTAATGGAACAAAAACAGACACACAGACTAATGGAATAGAATTGAGAGCCCAGATAAAAAACCACATGTTTATGGGCAAGTAATATACAAGACAGGAGCAAAGTACATACACTGGAACAAGGAAAGCCTCTCCAATACATGGTGCTGAAAAATAGGAACTGCCACAAGCAAAATAAAGAAATTAGATCATTGTCTCATGCAACGCATTAAAATCAACTCAAAATGGATAACAGACTCGGCTATGAGACCTGAAACCACCAAAAAACAAAACACCGAAAAGAATAGGACAGAATAGAATGAAACTCCTAGGTTCCAAAAACTTGCCCCGTTTATAGCCATCCCCAGGGTCCGGCCCGAAGGCACGCTGTCATTTTCGGTCTCCTCCTCCTAGAGCTCAGATCCTGATGCTAGTAGCAGAGATTCCAAAGTCAACAAGAAACATGGTGGCAGCAACATAGAGCATTCCACTTTTGTGGAAATGCAGCCGTGGGCTGACTTCTGGGCAGGCTTGCCAACCCTACGAGGCCAGAAGCATCGTCAAGTATTTGGGTGCTAAGACTCCAATGAAGCAATGAGGAAGCAAAAACACCTCTGGGCATAACCAGAGCCATGTCAAGGAGCCGCAGGAACGCCAACATCAGGGTTCTCCACCACGGAGTAGGAGTAACATCTTTATAGTGTCATTAATGGAGATTACTCACTCAGTCATGCGTGCACTGCAGGGCCTCAGGTCACCTCCAGCAGGTGCTCAGTGTATGTGATTCCTTTCTCCTTCCCTGAGGAGCCCAACTTCTCCTCGTAACAGGGATTTGCGAGGAAGATGGTACCATCACTTTAACACATTAGAATGGTTAAGAGGCAATGTGGATTATCTACAAAATGCCCAGTTCCCAGGGGAATGAGGCACTATGGCTGATGCAGCCCCTGAAATAGGAGGGATCCTCTTGGCACCAGGTGTCCTAGAGAAAAGATCTCAAGAGCTCAGGGAAGGGCCCTTCCAGGTCTCAGATGATCCCCCATGAAGAACTTTGCACCCCCCGTTGGTGACAGCCCCTGGCTTCACCTGCTGTGTTTCTTGGGTGGGTCCTTTAGTGACATAGAGAGGGCCCCTGCTCTCACTACACTGACTCTGTTAATAATAACCCATTTTAGAAAACCAAAGACTTGCAGCCGGAGTGTGGCAGGCCATGGGGCTCCTGGTCACTCAAGGCTCAGGAAAGCCTGGATTCTACTCAAGGGAGAGTCTAAAGTCGGCCCATGGGCTTTCCTGGTGGTGCAAGGGGTTAAGAAGCAACCTATGAAGAGATCTGCAGCATCTGCAGCCTGTGTTTGATCCCCAGGCGGCCAGGGAGCTACCCACATGGCGCAGCAGACCCCTCCAGACTTGCCAGTGGCTCCCCTCAGCAGTGTACTTCAGTCAATCTGCCTGTTCTGTTCCCCACTCTGTCTCTGGTGAATCTTTACCGCCCCCCCCCATATCACTGGCCTGTGGTTCTTGTACGCATAAATAAAATTTTTGTAAAAACAAAAAATATATAAAGGCGCCTCCGGAGGCAGTTTCCAGGTGTGAAAGCCCCCTTCCAGGCTCGGAATGACCACATCGGCTGCACGGCAGGGAAGTGACACCTCAGCCCTCAGACGTGGGCTCAGGCCCAGCAGGGGCAGCATCCCAGACCCCGTGAGGAAAGCAGAGCCCCAGGCCCACGCGGCCCACTGGTCAGAGCCTGCACCCGGGAGACGACACGGCTCGGCCTCCTGCCTGCTGGACCAGGGGCGGGAGGGGGATGGGCCCCGGGAACGTGGAAAACCCGGTCCCCAAACTGCACTGTAGACCGCGGGATGGAAACGCACAGGCCCGCAGGGGGAGGGAGGCCCAGGACCCGCCGGGGCGCCCTCGCGGGCCGCAGTCTGAAGTAAACGCCTCAGGGAGCAGCGGGGCCACGCGCAGGAGGGACCCAGACCCCTGTGTCCTGCCGGCCCCAAAATGAACCCCAAAGCCCCAGTTCTCCACACCCAGCCCGCGCCCCAAGCCCTAGCGCCTTCCCTCCCTCGGCCTCACCTGTCCGCTCCCCGCCGCCGGCTCCCCAGGTCAAGGGCAGCGGCGCCCCGTGGGGCTCCTGAAGGACCAGGGTCACCCCAGCCGGAACCTCACCCCGAGTCGGGGGCCAGCAGGGCCAGAGGCCTGGGCGAGCGCGCATGCGCGGTAACGGTGCAGGTGCAGCCAGGTGCGCTGGGCGGGGCCGGGCGCGCAGGGGCTCCCGGAGGCCACGCCCACCCGGCCGCAGGCGCTGGCGGGAGGGTTCGCAAACAAACACTGAGATGCAGACACATGTCTCCTCCTCGCCCAATACACTGTGACCCTACAGTGTCCGCTAGTCATTAAACGGCAAACAAGGTTGCCATTTCTGGGAAAGATTTTTTTTTTAAATCATTCTTAAAAATGCCCTTACCTGAAGCTGACATAAAAGCATGGCAAGGGGCCACCCTGGTGGGCAGGGGTTAAGCACCGCACTGTGAAGCCATCCGCGGCTTCTGGAGCCCCAGTTCCATCCCCAGCCAGGAAGGTGACCCACAGGGCGCCACAGACCTCTCCTGTCTCCCCGCTGCTCCCCTCAGCAGTGGATTTCAGTCAGTCCACCTGTTCTGTTCCCTGCTCTGTCTCTGGTAATCTCCTTACCCTACCCCCGCACCTATGGCCTGCACCCCAGCTCTTGTATTTATAAGTAAATAAATCTGTAATAAAATAAAATAAAGCATAACACGTACTCCCGACTTATACATCACGAGGTATGACCGGGAAGGGTGGGGGGCCGAGGACCCATGTATGACAAGGGACCCCAGAAGCTGATCAGTGGACCACCTTGTTGATAAGATTAGAACCTTGGTTGGGGATTAGGGTGTGTCATCAAGGTGATAAGAAGTGCCTGAAGGGCAGACTCACAATCCCTAATCTTCTACACCCTTCACCTTTCTATAATCTCCTTCCCCTTAATCTCCTTTTGCTCCTCCCCCTTACAACCAATACCGTGTGTCAATAAAAGGGCCAGGATCTTGCTCTTCAGCCTGCTCCATGACACCCGTTTCTTTATCGGTGTGGTGTTGCCCAACGCAACAAATGGCGCCCAAACAGGAACTTCACACCCCGCTTCTCAAGCCCGGAGAAGGGAATTGGACGTCCTCTCAAGCCCGTCAAAAGGCTTCACAGACCCAGAGTCTGCAACAAAGTGGTAAGAAGGTGTTTCAGTCATGTCTTTCCTATCTTTTTCTTCCCAATCAGCCTGGTAAAAGGCCCACCGAGCTGGACTCTGTGATGATAGTCAGCCTGGTAAAAGGCCCACAGACACTGAGTCTGTGATGTTAACTTTCTTCTGTGAGTTTTTCAGTTAAATCTTTACTCTCTCTTAGAAACATGAGTGATAATCTCACACCCCCTCAGATCAAATATAAAAAAGAACAGAGAGCCCTGACACTAGGGTTTGCCATTTACTGTTTTTTTTTTTAAAGATTTGTTTATTTATTTATTTATTTATACAAGCACTGGGTACAGTCAGAAGCGTGGGAGGTGAGAGAATACACCAGAGCCAGAGCAGGGAACAGAACAGGAAGACTGAAGAAATACACTGCTGAGGGGAGAAGCGGGCGGGAAAAGAAGTCTGCTGGGCCATGTGGGACCCTTGCTGGCAGCCGGGGATCGAACCGGCACTGCAGAGGGGAGGCCCGCCATTTACTGTTCTTAAATTTAAAAAAGGTGTTTCCAAAAATGGTAATCAAAATTCATTTGCCAAAACAATTGTTGAATGTTATAAAAATGGGTATAATATGACTTCAAGAGACTGTAAGGTTCTTATCAAAACAGGACCAACCCACTGCAGCAGGCTAGTGGAGGGCTGTCCCTGGTCTCAGCAAGCAGCTGCCTGGACCTCTTGCTCCAGTGTTGGAATCACTGGCACGTCTCTGCTGCCTTCCTGCTGTGGAAAACTGGACTCTGTTTTTGCCCACCTTGAGATACTGTTCTAGTTTGTTCTATAGGTTAAAATATATATATATATTCTATTTCCTTGTGTTTTCCTACAAAATGCTTATTGGCTAAGTAAAAACTCCTGACTTCCTTATTGGACCTGTAAAAGGTTTCTTATTAAAATTAATTGGCCTGATAAAAACTAAAAAGTAAAACTACAACTTTTTGAGCTAAATCCCAAACCTTACATCTCTAAAAATCTTTGCCTCTATCCAGCAAGAAGCCTCTGAATCGTATCTACAATTCATAGACCCTCTCCAGAGGGCAATAGCTCGACAAGTGGATGACGCGGAAGCTAGACGGGTTTTAACATTACAATTGGCTTATGAAAGTGCTAATGCTGACTGCAAAAGGGTGCTAGCTTCCACAGTGGGCAAGCCTCATACTATCGCAGATATGCTGCGGGCTTGCCAGGATATTGGGACAGAAACCCATAAGGCACTGGTCGTGGCTTCTACTTTACAAACCACAGCCCCTTATTATAAGTGTGGACAAATGGGTCATTTCTGTAAAAAACTGTCTTAATGCAAATTCAGGGGAAATGGCAACTTATTCAGGATTTACAGACAGTTAAGGCTCAAATGCAGCCAATGAGAGCACTTCAACCAGGCCTCCCTAAGCCAGCCATGATCCCCTCGACCTTTCATCTCCTGGTTATAGATTTAAAGTGTTTCTTCACAATTCCTTTACACCCAGATGGTAAGGAAAAATTTGCCTTCTCAGTTCCTGAAATTAATAATGGTCGACACTTACGTTTTCAATGGTGTTTTTTACCTCAAGGAATGATGAATAGCCCCACCATGTGTCAGCTATTTGTGGACACCGCCCTATGTCCAGTTCGTACTCAGTTTCCCTCTTGCTTGATATACCACTACATGGATGATATCTTGTTAGCAGCACCCTCCGCTAGCCTTCCACAGGTCTGTTCAGAAGTTTTAATGACCCATTTAAAACGTACAGGCTTGGTGGTGGCACCTGACAAGATTCAGTATACTAACCCTTATTCTTATTTAGGATTTAAGATGGTACATTCTCAAGTAATTCCTAAGACTTCTACTTTACATTTATTTGACTCCCGTCACATTAATGACTTTACAACAATTTTTAGGTTGTGTCCAGTTCTTGGAATTCCCATTTATGCTCTTTCTGAGCTGTTTGCCTCTTTAAAAGGTGATCCAGCCCCGGCCTCTCCTCACTCACTCACTAACAAAGCAAAGCAACAATGAACATTTCTTAACAACTGCCTTCACTCTTCTTGTTTGGACAGGTGCGACCCTAAAATCTCTCTCTCATTGCTTATTTTAAATACCCCCCATTCTCCTACAGGAATTATTGGACAATTGACCTCACCCTTCCGCATTATTGAATGGCTTTCTCTTCCCTCCCAGCCTAAATATCGTCTATCTACTTATTTTCCTCAAAGATGTTCTTTGTTACAAAAAGGTTGTTCTTGTCAGTCCTTAGCCGGTTATGATCCTTGCTCTATTAACACAGGCCTCTCCAAGCAGGAAACAGAATGGCTCTTCACTCAGAGCAATTTCAAATTGTTTTCCAGGATCACATCAGATCATTCTTTTATTCAAACCCCCTCCCCCACCCCCGATAAAGGCATTCAATCCCTACAACTTCTCCCTATTCATTCTTTCGATATTGTTAATTCTCCCATTCCCCAAGCTCTTACTATCTTCGTAGATGGTTCCTCCACTACAGGCCGCGGAGTCATGGTCTGGCACACAGAGCTGGATGTGACATGGCAAACTGCCTATACTACATCTTTTCCTTCAGCCCAATATGCTGAACTAGCAGCTGTTATTTTGGCTCTTTCCTCATTTCCTTCATGGTCACTTAATATTATTTCTGATTCGCTATATGTTACCACCCTAGTGGTGGTAACAAGACATCTCTTCTGCCCTTCTTAAATTAACATTGATGAAGCCCTACTATCGCCTTTCATTTCTTTACAAACTTTGCTTCGCCAACGTGTTCTTTCCATTTTTATTGCTCACATTCGCAGTCATTCCAGCCTACCAGGCCCACTATCAAAAGGCAATGAGACAGCTGATGCTGCACTTAGGGTGTTTAATGTATTTGCAGATCCTATAACTTGTCATCCCGTTTTTCATCAAGGAGCTCACAGTCTAGCAAAATTATTTAATATTCCCCTCACACAGGTGCGAGAGATTGTTAGCGCTTGTGCTATCTGTCAGTGCTCTGGCCCCACCATTCCTACAGGCGTCAACCCATGTGGCACTCAAGCCAATGAATTATGGCAAATGGATGTCACTTACTTCCCTTCCTTTGGTCGTTTATCTTGTCTCCATGTTACAACAGATACCATTTCAGGATTTCTATAGGCCACAGCTCAGCCCAGAGAATGTTCTGCTCATGTTATTCGTCATCTCTACTTGGCATTTGCAATGATGGGTCATCCTTCCCGTATTAAATTGACAATGGCCCTGCTTATACTTCTAAGTCTCCTCCCCTTATTCTCAACTTTTTAAAGCTCTATTCACATTAAACTATTTACAGTACAGAGACATGGACCACAACCTAATCACTCCAGTAACACTCCATTTCTCCAAACCTACAGAAAATGATCATAAACCTTTAGTGTTATACAATTACCCAATCCTAACTGGTTAAGCCCAGCTCCTTTAATCTCATGGGAAAGAGGATATGCGGTGGTTATGTCTCCACAAGGTGTTCAGTGGATTCTGGCTCGCTGTGTTAAACCCTACCATGAGTTCACACAACCCCATGAACAATCTCAAGCCAAAGATACAGAACATGAGACTG